TGTTTACAAAATCCTTTTTTTTCTTTTTTCTTTTCCTTCGGCCAAAACATTTACAAATCCCAGATTGCCAAATAATTCTTATCACATCTTAATTTTGGGGACACTCAGATCCACTTAGTCACCTTTTAACTGGGTGGTCCTGTTTACCTGATAATTAAATTCTTTTATTTTTCTCATGCCTTAAAATTCTCTTATCACCAGATGCTCATTTTCAAGACGCTATGTTTGACGTCAACAGTTTGAATAAGCAATAATAATGATTCCCTTTTCGATTTTCCTTTTCATGTCAAGTTCCGTGCATATATCAGATGGCTTCCCTCACTGGAACCAGGAATTAAAGTTACATGATATCTCTGAAAGATAATTAATAGCTATTCTCCAGAGTGGTCCCAAGCCAAATTTTTTCCATGGCCACATGCACCGGCTGGCTTTGTTTTTCTATTTGAATTCTGTTTATATTGGTGCGTCACTCCCTTATCCCTTAAGTATTTCCCGTTTTTAATTTCTATGGTTAATTAGTTAGCCAATTACCATAGCTAAATAGTGTCACATACATTATTTACATTATTCAGACTATTGTCCTCATCTTTGTTGCCATATTTATTATGTTTCGGGTAGACACATGGCACAGTGGATAAAAGTGTTGGTTACGATCCAGTGACCAGACCCAAAGAGTCTGAGTTCAATACCTGGTTAAGGCAGTGGAGAACTTTCAGAGGGAAATTAACAGGAGATAACTGACTTCCATTAAACATGGCACGTGGAACAGTTTACCCCAGTGAGCGAAATAAAGGGTTAAGTTCGACATTCCAACCACCTGAAGAAGGCCGGAGTGTACAACGGCCGAAACATTGTAATAAATATGGTGACAAAGATGAGGACAATAGTCCAAATAATATACCTCTTTTCCTCTTTTTTTTTTTTATAGTAATTTTCAATATCTCTTTATGCTATACTTAATATTTGTACCAACAAGAAATCATAAGACTTTATATTTAAATAATATTAGTAGAGAATAGGATAGCTAAAAAGAAATAATAAACATGGTTGACAAAGCAGTGAAAGTCCTTTAACAGGCAGACTGATGTACTTTGAGTTGCAATGTCAAGAGACAGTGTGATTTTTCTAAGTATTAATCTGTTTGGGATTTGTGGTTGCTAATTCAGAGAAGCTGAGCTATTGCGAAATTTTGAACACATTGACTTGCTCAGACAAGAGTCAAGCAAAAACAACATGAGAATAAAACTTAAAAAAAGGCATCAAGTTGAAGTAATTAATTGTTAAAATTAATCTGCATTGATTTCAGACAAGAAAAATAATGTTAAGGAAAGTAGAGAGTGGAGAATGAAGTTGGATGTAGGGAGTTGAGGTCACATTTCAGAATGCCATTCTCAATCAGGCTTGCACAAAAGTCAATCCATGTGCTGCATGCGGCCCACAAAGGGTTTTTAAAAGAAGTAAATTTTCCTGTTCAGCAGAATAAATTTGGCAACTGATTGGGCACAAAAAAAATCATTTTTGTGAAAACCTGACTTTATCCAACCAATATTTCACCATCTTTTTATCTAATTAGTCCTTTAACTCTTAGAAGAAAAAAAATTTTTTATATATATATATTAAAAAGAAGAGAGAAACTGCAAATGCTTTTGGTTGTAATGTGGATTTTTAAAAAAAATATTAGTGTGTTAGTGATTCAAAGGTTTTTCTTGAACTGTTCAAGAAAGACATCTGGGTTACTAACACACTAAAAAAAGAATATCTCACATCAAAAAACATAAGAAAAAAATTAATTATTTTTAATATGTGGAAATTTCCACATTTTGCCTGATGAAGGTCGCAAGACTGGAAAGTCATGTAGCATAATTATGGAAAATAAGGCATATTTTTTAAAAAAAATCCACATTACAACCAAAAGTGTTTCTCTCTTATTTTTAATATACACTTTTCTCTTGTTGGAATGACTATAATCTCTTCCCTTTTTATATATATATATATATAAATTGAAATCATAGAAAAAGGAATAATATCCTTATACATTAATCTATTCAGCTTAAATTTCCATTCTCTTGGGGAAGTGGGGGGTGGGTGGGTTGATATTCAGGTTATCTCCCTTCTCATTGTTTTGGAGTGGAGAAAAAGGGCAGGTCTTCATTTTTTTTGGTCCTTTGTATATTTTCTTTACTTCCTGCCACCTTCAATGTTTTGACAGATGACAGCAGAAGAGACCCAATGATGTGACAATAGGATTGCATTCTACACATAGACACTGTTGAAATGCATCTCAAGATGGCATCAGCTTTGAAGCTTCTCTGCCACACACACACAATAATTGAGGAGCATTATTATGTATGGCAAAATGATGGAAATATGTAGCAATTATTTATGGATCTGACACAACAAAACAAGGTCCTTATTTTGACTAGTTAGTCTAGAGAATAAGTCAAGAGAAATTTGAGGAGAGTCCTCATCTGTACAATGTTTGATATCATTACAGATAAACTGAAGCCTGTTTCTAAAAGATGAAAATCCACTTGCTTATTTAGCTTTTAAAGAGATTTGTAACTATTGTTGTCCATCAGTTTTTAGAGAAGTTTAAATGCTTATATTATAAATTCAAGTTTTTTGTTTAATTGCCAGATGGAATAGCAGTTTTCCTGTTAACTGTAGCAAATGTGTCTGACAAAAATGAGCAAATGGTTCATGCTACTGTTACGACTTTCACACGTCACTGCACAAGCTGTGATGACATCCAAGGTTGGTAGTATGTGTATATACACCTGGCTCGCTATGTTCACAGATTTGTCTGACAGTCCATGATCAAATTTAACAAAGAATAACAACATGCTTTTCATGACACTGATTTGGAAAGAGCAAACAATATGATTTCTCACTTAATCAGCAATGTCTTCCTTCAGCTTTGAGAAGGTGAACTTCTATCTTACTAACTTCTGGCCACAGAAAAAAAAAGGACCTTTATTCACTCACTGCCTGACCATCTTGGTGACTGCTGACTTGCTCACTGCTGACTGATTATATGGATACTGGCCGGAGCACCCACCACACCTATCTGTCCACTTGTGTTCCGGAAAAAGAGACCACTCATTCAGCTTTTGGGTGGTCAGCTTTTCAAAGGACTCTACTTTTATGATGATCTGAAAATCACTAACAAAATTTTATGTTAGCCAATTCAAAGGCAGGCTGGTGACAGAAATCCTGAAAAACCCTGGTCATTAAATTGATACAAAGATGGACTGGAAACAAGATTCCTAAGAACACTGGTCATTGAATTGACTTAAAAGGAAAAAGAATCTATCCATATCTCCTAAGGACGTGTGAGAAATTATATTGCTATACTACACTTTAAAGCCATGACTTATCAGAATAAGAAATTAACGATTAACAAGATTTTTAATGGTCCAGCTGTTTCTGCCAAAGATAACATTCCATTTTCTTTTTTAGATGAACATGTGACAAGACAAACAAAAGATCAGAGTAATTGTGAAAAATTTTGAGAATATAAGAGAGATTCTAATTGAAATGTGCAGGACAGCTCTTACCAATGGTATACGAAGGGGAAGTATGGTTCGCACAATGGATGTGGGGGAGATGGATCACCCTCGTGCACAACGGCTTTTACCAATGGTATACAGGGTGGGGGAAAATGGCTTGCCCTTGTGTACGACAGCCCTTACCAATTGTGTACGGGGTGGTGGGGGGGGGTGTCACCCTTGTGCACAATGGCTCTTGCTAATTGTATATGAAGGGAGGGAGGATGTTTTAACCTTGTGCGCGACAAAGGGAGGAGGATGGTTCACCCTTGCATATATGGCGTGACAGGACTTAGCTGGAAATGTCTAAACTGGTGGAACTAAGGAATCTAGCTTATAAGAACAAATTCCATGGAAATTGTGATAGTGTAGCAATAGATATGCAACATTGCCTCTGTGGGAGAGGGAAGGACACACTTGGAAAGTATTTGCAGACTGTGTCAGATGAATAGAAAAATCTTTGGTAACTGTTCATTATGATCAAATATTTGGCATCTCTGAGCATCTCCCAAGGGTGTGTTGTGGCTGCATCAGTGGTAAGATGGTTTGTGCTGGTTGAGGATCGTACATACTTTTAGCATGAGTTGTCGGATGCTGCTGTTTATTTCAGGCCAAAAGACTGGTTTTCTTACAAGTTGTGCATGCACTTCGTTTCTCCATGATGGTTTGCATGGATGATATTTAGAACTAAGTTTCTGGTTGTTTTGAGGAGCACAGTTCTGTCACCCATGAGGACTAACCAATCTTCAAGTACAATGTCACATTTGAATATCTAGAAATCCCAAAGTACCTGAAGCCATTGTTTTCTATATTCTGATAATCGTTTGTTCATAATGTCTCTCAGTAGATTCATTGATAGATTAGCCATCGTTGCTTGCTTAATATTTTCAATGTTGTATTTTTTCAGGATATGGATGATTGGGTCTTGCCACAGATTCATTTCCTTTATTATCTGTGAACTTCCACATGTTCTTTGGAAAGACAATGGTTTCCCACTACCTTTTTCCATAATTGGATATTCAGTTTTTCTTCTATGAGACTGGTTACCACCTACAGCTAAAGAGATCAGTCTACTCTGCTATTTATCTCTTATTGACACAAAACATTTGATAGAATTAATTTTTGACTTTCCTGCCATCTTTGTTTACAATTACCATCATCTTTTCTTTATCATTCTGGCAACAACAATGAACAATCTCTTTCTCCTCCTCCTCCTCCACTAATGTCTAAACAATAAAGCAAAAAAAGCAAAAAAAAAAAAAAAAAAAAAAAAAAAAAAAAAAAAAAAAGACTTTTTTATTAAAGCAATGAAAGAATACAGAGAAAAAAAAAGCTGAGAGATTTTTATTCCATTATTTATTTATTATTCAAATAAATAAATAAAAAAAAAAAATAAAATAAAAAAAAAATGGTTGTTGTTGGTGAGAATTATTATGTCTTCAAGTTTCTTGCTCATCGAAATAAAGAGAACCTTTGCGGCATCTTACCGGCTTTGTTAAGCAATGCAGATTGAATGTCTTCATATTTTGGTAATTTCGATAAGGAACCATAAGCAGCAATGGCCGGTTTGCTACTCAGCATTCGGTTAGCCACACGTCGGATATCATCAACTGTAACACGAGCTGAGGGGTAAAGAAAAGAAGTGTTAAAAAAAAAAAATACCTTTCAGAAAGCAAACCAATTTAATCAGATTTGCTAAAACACGTTGATCTGAAAAAATTCTATATTTTGGGGATATTTAACATTCTTCTCAGTGATCAGTCTTGTATTTTGTTGTTTTTTTTTTTTAGCATTTTGTTTGGTAGTTTAAAGATATTGTTAGTCACAAATAACAAAACCGAAGAAATTTTTCTTTCATGAAATTGGTGATAATAAAGGAGACCTAGTAGATGTAACTACTCAAAGGGAGATAACTAGATGACTATGCTCATTTTTTTTTTTTTCTGTTAGACTTGAAATCATCACCAGAGTGAGGAGAGATAATAAAGCACATCTATACAATCTCACCAACCCCAATCCAATTGTATGTGCAAACATTAATAAAATAAAATTTTGAAGTGGTATTGCAAAATGACTGATGGCTCAACTAATATGCAGACCATGACAATTTTAGTCAAATTAAATCAAGTGATAAGTGTGTGTATATAAATATAAAGTAATCATTTAGCATGCAAGTCCAAAGCCCAAAGAAAAAAAAACGATACGAGTAAGCAAAATAACTAAATAAAGTGCTCAATACAGTAAGTAGAGCAGATCTAGTTAAACCTAGAGAGCCAGACAAACCTACCTAAGTGGATCGGCAGGGAAGGCTGGTCTTCCCTGACGATCCGCTAGGTGAAACCTTGGTAGGTTTGTCTGGCTCTCTAGGTTTAACTATATATATATATATATATATATATATATATATATATATATAGATAGATAGATAGATATACATATAGTACAGATAATCGACCTGTTGGTATATAATCCGGGTGGATCCTAGTAACATTAATTATTAAAACTAACCCACAGGGAGCTCAATGTTTTTATTTTAACAGAACATATGTATTTTTACAATGAAAACCAAAATTACATCAACATAGATATAGTCTATTTCAAACTGTTCTTCACACAGCTATCATCAGTCTGTAAGGCTAAAACAGACTATAACTCTGTTGAGGTAATTTTTGTTTTTTTTGCTGTAAAATATAATATATATATATATATATATATATATATATATATAAAAAAGGATAAATACTAATATCCCATGGTCATAATTTATTCCAAATTATGACCATGGAATATTAGTGTTTAAGCCTTTTTATTATATCCTTACTCTGTCCTGGACATTGAGTTCTACCTGGATTCTATCCTCTTGGAATTTTTTATTAAAAAAATATATATGCATGTGTATGCACCTATATATATATATATATATATATATATATATTTATATATTTTGCATATGTATGTCTATATTTACCACTACTAATATATATATATATATATATATATATATATATATATATATATATATATATATATATATATATATTTCTTCACACCTCCAAGTTGACAAGGACTATAAGTAAGTCTTGTGGGCAAACAGCTATTCGAATGAGGTAATTTTGGATTTCTATTCTATGTAATTTATATGCTGTTATAATAAATACATTGAGCTCCTTTTGTGGATTAGTTTTAATATTTTATATTATTAGGATTCACTTGAATTATTGTATATATATATATATATATATATATATAAATAAAAATAGTTAAAGTGCTCGATATCAGGGATAGAGTGTAAATACAAAAGTGAACATTGAGGTCAACCACCATTGGTGACCGTCTGTTTCATGCTTAAATGCAATCATCAGGACAAATAAATATCAAACTGTGAGTAACTTATATATTTTGTGTATTTGTGCAGCAATCACTCTTTTATACATATTTTGTTAAAGACAACTGACAAGGTTCTACAATTGAGCCTTTTTTTTTAATTTTATTTTTAACTTTTCTTGTGTTCATACAATTGTTTTTTTTCTTTTTTTCTGGACACAAAGTGTATAAAAACTGTCCAAAAATTCTGTATATCCAATTTCAAATGCCCCTTGAGGAACTGCATTTCTGATCAAAACAAATAATTACATTGGTCACACTACTACATGCCTATCTAGACGACTTGCATTACACCTACCTGACCATAGTTCCATTAGGACTCATTTAAACACTAAAACCTACCAGACTCCATCCAAAATATACTAATAGAAAATACAACAGCTTCATCCACATTTATAAGAAGATTAAAAATTATGGAAGCCCTAATAATCAAATAAGAAAAGCCAAGACTTAATAACATTAAC